ATTTTTGGCTGAGCAGACAGAATTTCCCAACTAATTCCAACCCCTGCTTCTGTATTCCCTTTACTAAAGACTGCTTTGCTTCTGTATTCCCTTTACTAAAGACTGCTGTGGAGCTCCCGGTTGGATGGTGTTTGGTGTTTGCAGCAACTCATGCATGCGGAGGCAGTCAAAGCTCATGTGGTGAAGCAGCACAATCACATAAGTCACAGCAGATCTGTTTGCACAGCCGACATCAGCTTCAGCAGTGAGTTCTTGAGTTCTTCTAGCCCATGAATTAGAGGACTGCACACCGAATGAATTTTTGCAGGAGTCCATATATACATGGCTCATATGTTCAGAACTTGCTTGAGCATCGCTGGCATGTTCAAGGACTTGCAACCTCGAAGATAACTGATCACCTCAGGCATCCCGGCTTCCTCCCAGAGCTCGTGACCATCCTCGTGAAGCTTGGCCAGAATATTGATGACCGACTCAGACCCGGGGTCCTGGAGCAATCTCACTCATATATTTTCGGGCATGATTGTTGAAAATAGAGGTAGTAAAGCTTAGCCTATATGATTCAATACAGACGATCAACAACTTGCAGCTGAAAGCTCCTTCGGTGAACGAAGCCCTGTGATCTCGGAGGATAGTCTCGGTAGCAAAGCACCGATGCGGTACCCAAAGGCACGGGTATAGTTCCTGGGCAAGACAGCACACATGCTAGACAAGGCGATGGATGTTGTTGACAAACAAGCAGGATGTTAATGATTCAACACATATTGAGTATTTCAGGCCCCAGCTGGCTCTTCTTCAGCTTTTTCCGCACTCCAGTAAACCGAGTCTTTCCCAGGGAATCTACATAGCGATGGACCAGGGATTGGGCTGTAGCTCGCATGTCCTCAGGGCTGACAGCACATGACTACATGCAGCAACAAGATATCATGCATCATGGCAACACACAACTGCAGAACATGTGCATGCCAAGAAAGCAAGCAGCCGCAGATACAACATCCGAGCCCAGCTCGCCGATCAGTCGGCTGTTAGACCAAAGACATGTCTTCTTCATGCTTGGAGCACCGAAAGCCCTCATGTTGACTTGTTGCCGGTAAACCTGAGAACCATATAGAGCAAGCATGCAAAGTACAATTCCTCCAAAACATGGCTGTCAGCTTGCAATCGATATAATTACAGCTCAGCTACCCATGCCACTTTTTGACAGAAGTGCTCCCACTGTGGCAAGAAACTGAATCTCGCACTGGCGGGCTGCTCGAGGATGAAGCACAAGTTCAAAGCCATGGCCATGTAGCACAGAAGAATGCACCTGCCCACGCCACATGAAGAGGTTGGCTTGTTAGAGACACCAGCAAACTCTGTATTATTCAGTACGATTAAACTCCGACTTTGATGGGAGACAGCACCTGTGGGCCAATAAGTTGCCAGTTCGGACCCAGGGTAGAGAGGTATCGCCGAAGGGACACACGATAGACCGCCCCGATTGAGCAGCACACATATCCGAAAAGGAAGAGCACACAGGTGCCAGCACTATGACTCCTCCTCCTTGGAGGCGAAGAACTGCAACCAATGCTAACCTTGGATAATTCTTTGTTGACAAATGTATGCATATATATTTTTTTCTTTATTAAAGAATATGATATCCACATGCCGTAGTCAATTGCCGTCCCGGAGCGCCATGCCAGCTGGAGTCAGGAGGTCGTAATATTTCTGGTCAGGTGCGTACTCGTAGTCTAGGGCAATGGTCTTGAACGATAGTCTCTTTAAGCTCGTGGTAAGATTTGCTTTGCCTGCGAAGAACTCTACAGCACGCCAATCCTCAGATAAGTAGAAGCAAGTTGACATGGCATGCTGAACAATCAGAATCATCAGAAGACTGTGAGAATACTGTAATTCAATCGACGAGCACGGCTCAGGTGGATGTCTTCGATGAAGTACAGGAGCAAGCAGCACACAACCACCGCCTTATATTAGAAAGTGCAGACCAAGATAATAAAGTCACTACACATGTCTGTAGACAGAGAGAGAGAGAGANNNAGAGAGGCAGATAACTTTAGTCGAAGAGCTCGTGGAACCCCAGCTCGGAAGAGGTTGCATACAAGCACCCGCAGGTGCCATGCATTGCGTCGACTGAACATGGTTACGAATAAAATGCTTGCATATCTTGTAGCAGAAGACAGTGATGCAAATAGCTTCAAACCTATATATATATATATGAAGGACATCAAGGCGGCTGAATCATACTCGAAATTCCTTAGCCATATCACTTTTGTAGTCGGGCAAAAAATGCTGCAATGAAGAGTGGTTCTGAACGACCTTGAAGCACAAGCGAAATCCAATGTGGCCAAACCAAGGTAACTCCAACTTCATGCACAAGGGTGAGCATGCCGGTTCCACCGAAACTTGGCTGCAGTCGTTTCCAGCCACGGGGCATGGACGCAAGCACCTCAATCAGCAATATGTTTGTACATCAGCAACAATCCTCAACAACATACAAGCTTGTGGCATGCTGCTTGCTGAGAAGTTGTTGCGACATGTGCATGTACCAAAGGATAAGATCTTTTTTTTCCTTCTAGCGGGATGGGTTGGCGATGAGACCGTGCCCCAGTCTTCAAGACCATGGCACCACACAGTTGGCAACATCCGACATGTGCGATGTTCAAACAAGCAGCAATCGTCACAAAAATGGAGCCATCAAAACTGGAGTGGACAGGGACAGCTCCTGCAATCTGTTTGCAATTGCTTTGCAATTCCGGCTGTGACCGCACGCAGGCCCGAGGCAACCCTCAAGATCCATCGTCACTCAAGATCAAGATATAAGATACTCCATAACCCAACCTGCCTTATAAGTCATGTCGATATGGCACATATGCCTCACATAACACTCCAGCCCACTCCGGAGAGTGGGAGACGGATCTAATCCTCCAGACCTGTTCCTAAGCAATCACGAACCTGGCTCTTGGCTTCCCATGCGGATATCTACACCAACGGAGGCGTGTCTTTCAGCTCGGATCTGTACTTCTGTCGCAGGCTCATCAAGACCGAGTTTGCTTTGTAGTTCACTCGATCCCACTTCGCATTCGGGGTCTTCTCGAAGAATTGCACCTTTTATATCTGAGCAGTAGCATGCCAAACGATGATGCGTGGATATATCGTGTCATGCACTATATTCAATCAAGTAACCATCTCGTTGCATAGCTCGATCAGAACCGTGAAGGAGGGATATGAATAGCAAAACATTGACTTCCCTGACTGTTTGCAGCGTACTCCACACTTGGGCTGCCCACAAGTCCAATACACTTCGACACGAAAGGAGGGGCCGTGTAGGATAAGCCTGCATAATGATTCAAGACATGCAAGATCACCCCAAGCACAACAAGCACAACAAGCACACTTGCATACATGCATACATGCTCAATCGTATATTTCCCAGCGACGACTTCAAGTACTTCTTCTGCTCCGTGGTCACAAGGCAAACTCCTTTCTTGGGTCGCTTCGACGGCTGTGGCTCCTCGGCTTCCTCGGGCTCCTGGGGCTCCTTTTCCTCATGCTGCTCCTCCTTTTCCTTTTCATGCTCGTCCTCCTGCATCTGGAGATCCTTCTCATGATCATCGGCGTGCGATTCATCTTCCTCGTGCTTCCTTTTGCCATCCATATTGGCCGCAGCAGGCTTCTTCATAGGCTTGGATTTGGCCTTCCCCTTGGGCCATCCNNCTCCTCCGCATCATCAGGCTCCTTTGGGGTTTCCGATGGCTTCTTTGCTCCATTCTTGGCCTTTGCTTTTGGTGCACTCTTTGTTTTGGCCTTAGCCTTTGTCTTTGCTGTGGCTTTTGCTGTGGGCTTCGCCTTGGGTTCCACTGCATCTCCTTGCTTCTTCTTTGTCCTCTTGCCTCTGAGGGCTGCCTGAGATGCATGATGCAATAACGGAACATCCTCATCATTCTCCGGCTCATCCTCCCCCCTTCCTGCCGGTTCCGCCGCAGGCGAATAGTGCTGGGTGGCCTTCTGATCGTGGCATTCCTCATCGCCCATGGCATCATCCTCATGTCCTACAGCCTTGCATGGAGCTGCATTTGTGTCATCCTGGTCTGGTCCTACAGCCTTGCATGGAGCTGCATTTGTGTCATCCTGGTCTGCTCCTGTGCTCTCCTCATGCCCAAGCTGCACACCGTTGGCTCGCAAGAACTCCACAGCACCTACACCGCGCATCAGTGGCTCATGATCGGAGTCATCCTCATCCTTGACCTCCAGACTTACGGAATCCTTCTCCGACTCCTCATCATCCTCCGACCTCTCGTCAACATGCTCCGGCTCCGTAGCAACTAGCCACGACACAGGTGGCAGCAAGTTTGATTTGGTGGGGGTGATGGGCAACTCCTCCGGCTTCCATTCTGTGGCGTCAGCACGCACAAGCGGGGGGACCTCTGGGGACATATTCGGAAGCTCCTGCTCTTCCCTCAGGTGATCTCCAAGCTGCTTGGTTGTTGCATCCGACCTCATGTTTTGAATGAGACAAATATGCAATATATTATACTATCTCATGAGAAGTATACATGCATGCATAATCAAGGGTAGGAAAAGATAGCAATAAAGATAGTCAAGATCATGCAACCGTGCTTCCCAGCATCACTGCTGACAGCCACTGGCGAGGCTGCTGTGTCCTGCACAACTACCAAAGCCCATGAACAACACAGAGACAGGATGATATCACGTCAACCTCAATCTGTAACATCCTCATGACTCCCAGACGATCGTAGCAATGATGCAGCTTCCTTAGCAACATGCAACAACAAGATTCGTACAATAAGATAAGGTGTTCCAACCCAGAAGCAAAAATAAGAAGATCTCTGTTCCCTAAAGCAAACCCAGGATATACAAGCTCGTGGAGCAGAGGATCGTCCAGCACATGGCCTTCCACGATCTGGGTATCCAGATTATCCGTGAGGCCAGGGCCCGCATGGACTTGCACACTTGGTAGCTTCCTGCGATGACATGTAGCAGCACAGCATATATGTTTGCTCGGCAGACAAGCACAAGCAGCACAGGTTGGAGCACAACAGGGACTGGGGGGGGGCTTGCTTGATACAAAGACGAGCGACTGGGCTGACTGGGCCGAAAGAGCCAATTTCGCCAGCTTCTGCTTCAGATACGCGTAAGCATTGCTTCCAGAACCTATAACAAATTCTACAGCAAACTACCAGGAGTGGGACGAGTGGAAGTAGCAACTCTCACAAGATGCCCACTACGAATGCCTGGCGCCGGAGCTTCAAATGTAATCTCCACATCATCGAAACTCTCATCGGTCCAAGTGGGCTTCTTGGCAGAGGGCGGACCATCTGGCAGATTAGCATGTTTGCATGATTACAACCATCAACAAGCTTCATATCAATCATATCCCAGATCTTATTCTTATTATTCGAATTCCCCACCTGTCATCGTATCCTGGGAATCCGGATCAGAGGAGCCCACCGATGGAGCTGACAAAAGGTCAGCTCCAAACCTTTCTTCACTGCACATTGACGATCCATCCCCCTCCAGCTCTGGGTCGCTCTCACCATCCGGCAAGTCAAAGATTGCCGCCACTCCCAGCCACGGCGCGACATTCGGGCCTTCATGAACCCCCTCCCCCTCAGGCTCGGTAGCAGCATCATCGGGAGCAGCCTCCTCCCCTTCCTCCCCTTCCTCCCCTTCCTCCTCCAGCTCACCCCCTTCTTCATCGTTAGCCTCCTCTGGCCCTGCAGCCCTCCTCCGATGATTTGGCCTGTGAGCCTGTCGATACACAGCCAAAGCACCTTCATCCCCAAGACGAGCACGATACAAATCCTTCAGCAAAGCAGAAACAAGCCACAGCAATCAGATCATGCATGCTTGTTGTACTGAGTTGTCTAGACTGCCATGCTGCAAAGTTGTTGCTGCCATGTTCATGCATGCATTTGCAACACCAAGGACACTCAGCATTTGGACATCGGGATCACGCTGCACATCCGAACGTTCCATAAGCCCTCAGATAGTTACAACTGCAAAAACACCTTTATATTACACTTGGGAACACTACCCCGCAGACAAGCGACTCTTATGAGCGATTAGAAAGCTCTTGATAGCATGAGCATCCGCATTGATTTGCGGCTCCAGGATCTGCACCTGTCTCAGTCTCAGTGCAGTGCAATTGGAAATCTGAAATATGCAATTTGCTCAAAAATTCAGCAAAGCCACGCCGAACTCTTTGGCTATCATAGCCAGTACCGGGGCAATCACTGGAATACGTGCGACTTGAGGGTGGCTTGCGAAGTTGGGCACGAAGTGGCGCAGCAGAATCTTCCACAACATGTTTATCAACATATGTGCAAGTCTGTAGCTAAAACAGAGCAGTTTGGGCATACATCAACGTCCTTGTTGAGTTTGATAGCATCAGTTGATGGCTTACGGAGCTTGCCCTTTTCGTTCATCGGCCACATAACGAAGACGTGAATGTGAATCGTTCGAGCTTTCAGCTCTTCATCCACTGACGCAGCCTGCCAGAGCTCACAACACTGTTTATTTATGCAACATATTGACCTCAATACTGCGGTCTCTTGCCTCAATAATATTCTTCATCTGCCTTTTCAGAACCTGCTTAGGCTCTTCCGCCATGGCTAGAGCAATCCGAAGATACCAATCCAAGCCAAAATCACTACGAGACAATAGCAAATATATTATGCAAGATCCTGCTGTCATTGACTAATGTGTATGCAATCAGGACATCACTTGAGTCGCTTGAGAAGCTACAGGCATGATGCATAACATGTACAAGCGAACAGTTCAAGGGCCAAGCATGTGCCAAGCTGACTGCATGTATTCAAGCAAGCAAGCAACAACCTTGTTCAGCATCTGTTGAGTTCGGAGCAGCACTCGAGGATGGGCTCAATCAAGCATAGAAGATGTTGTTTGTTTGTTGATAGCAAAGCTTTTGTTGTGCTTCGGCTGTTCATGCAACTTAGACAAGATGAAGAAGGATGTT